GCCCCATCTCGCCTCCGCCCACGCTGTGAAGACCAAGTGCCTCCTGCTATTGCCCCACGAGGAAGGGCCCAGGCTGCAGACACAGCCCGGGAAGACCGAGGAGCCAATGTCCCCTGCCTTCCGTCCACCCTGCCTGCTCAGAGCCTGGACAGCGAACGGGGGCCCAGAGGGCAGCGCCAGGACCAACTGGGTGACGCGGAGCAGGTCAGCCTGGAGCCTCAGTCCTCCCGGCTCCTGAGAGGCTCGTGGGCGGGGTGGACGTGCTCTCCTAGCCTGGCCAGGAGGAAAGCGCTGGGTGAAGTAAAGGGGTCCACTGCAGTTTCGAGCTAAAAATGGGACCTCGTGAAACCCAGAGACAGGCTGTCCTGCAGCTGGGCAATGGGCACAAGGCGCAGAGCCCGGCGTCCCTTACCTGGGGCGCAGGCGCAGTTGGGGTCCATTTCGAGCCGAGGTGAAGGAGGCTGCAGTTCCCAAGCGAGAGGCGAAGGGTCTGTGGTGCAGGTGGAAGGCGCGGTGGAGCCCAGGAGCCGGCAGTTCCCTTTATGGTCAGGGGAGGTGCCGGGCGCAGAGGCCCCGCCCCCATTGCACCCGCCCCGCGCCGCCCGCGGTCCCGGTCCCGGGCTGTGCGCAGCGGGCGGGCCGGGCGCAGCGCCCCCAAGGTCTTGGCACAGTGTGCACCGTGGGGCCCGCCCGGTTGGCTCACGCGGGAGGGCCTTAGCTCCTGGAGGTACTCCGCGTCCCTGCTGTCCTGCCGGCCCTTCCCAATTTCCCAGATTGCCTGCCACCCGGCCGGAGCGTTCCGGGAACCCAGCCCCTGGTGGTCGTGGCATCCCCACTTCCAACCCCCACCGTGTCCTTGTCCTTTCCCTTTCCTGCACTTCGTGTGCAACCCCAGCCTCGTGCTCACGGCCCTAGATCGATGGCAGCGAGCGGTGCAGCGAGGGAGTTGGGTGCAGAGCGCAAGCGGTGCATGTGACCTTTGCATCTCCCGCTTGCCTGAACCTGTCCCCAACTCAGACCTTTGGCCACGTTTCTTCTGTACGCGGCAATAGGGGGCCGCAGGGCTCTGCCTCCCTCCCTGCCATTCTCCACGCCTGAGGGGAATGTGTGTGCATGTGTGGCTCTGGGGGCTCCTTTGCATAAAACTCTACAGGGTGCCCCCATGGCCTGGTGGGCCCACCCACTACAGCACGACAATTTCGAAATAGTAGGATGCCCTCAGCAAAGGCATCATTTAAGGTGATATACGAACCCTGCATTAAATAGAAAAGCGAGAAAGGTGGTTATTTTCCCTTCAATATTCCTATTTCTGTCTATGGCATCTAGTCTGTTAAGCCCTATTTAACCACATTCCATTTTTGAACCCTCACAACTACCCTAAAGGGAAATACTATTTATGAACCCATTTTACTAATCAGACAACTACAATACAAGGAATTTAAGTAACTGGCCCGAGGTCAGACACTATAGGCACTGCTGGATCTGACTTCTGTAGGCTTCCCAAGGGAAATAGGTCAATATGAAGCTTCCCTTTAGCTTGGGTATGTCTTCAACACCTCTCTACTGCTTCACATCTTTAAAACAATAAAAATTATCCAGGTCAATCCTGGGAGCAGAAAAAGTGATACCCAAGGGAGGAATACACGTGTACACACATATATAATTTTATGTCTGCCTTCTATGTTTCAAAATAAAATTGATTCTCTTTTCAGTAGTGGTAACAAGTTTGGTTTTCATATAAATATCTCTAAGTAAATATGAATCATTAGGGAAAAAAGCACATTAATTAACACACCAGTGCCGATGGTAGCACAAATGGCAGGCATTCTTCCATAGCTGTTATAGGGACAGGGACTGTCTTGCTCATGGCTTTATATTTCTGGTGTCAGTGCCTATTTTGAGGGGAGAGGGCAGGACCCCCTCTGGGCAACAGATCTCATGTTCATGTGGCTGATGAGAAAAACAAAGGGTACACCACGCAGGACTGATTTGTCTGGGGCAAAATTGTTAACTCTGCTATTATCTCAGGCCATGTAGACTGTTATAACAACATACCTTAGATGGAATAATTTATGAACAATGGAAATTTATTGCACACGTCTGCTGGCACGGAAGTCTAAGATCAAGGCACCCACATATTTGGTGCCGTGTGAAGACAGCGTTCCTTATAGATGTGTCCTTCTTGCTGGGTTGTCACATGATGGGAGGGGTGGACAAGCTCCCTCAGGCCTCTTTTATAGGGGTACTAATCCCATTCACGAGGGCTTCACCCTCTTAATCTAGTCACCTCCCAAATGCCCCACCTGTTAATAGCAGCACATTGGGAATTAGGTTGCAGCATATGAATTTTGGAGGGACACAGCACTTAGGCCATAGCAGCTATGAATAGTATTAATAATAACAGAATAATAGCTAATATTATAGTTCTGTTGCCATCAACAAACACTATTCTAACTTCTTCACATGTATTAAATCATTTATTTCTATGAGTCACACTCTATTACAGTTATACATTGCTTAATCATGGGATGCTATCATGACAAATGTTTTGTTAGGCAATTTTATCATTGTCCAAACATCAGAGTGTACTTACACAAATCCTGATGGTATAACTTACTACACGCCTATGCTATTCGATATAGCCTATTGCTCCTAGGCTACAAACTCGTGTGTTACTGATTGATTACTGTAGGCAATGGTAGGTGTTTGTTTATCTAAACAGACAAAAGGAACAATAAAAATACCATGTTATAACCTTATGGGATCAATGATATATATGGGGGTCTATTATTTACTAAAATGTCATTATGCAGCTGATGACTACATTTTATCCCCTTTATTGTAGAGGAGAGTGAAACACATAGAGGTTATGTCACCAAGGTATATAGGTGACACAGCTAGGATATATATACATGTAGTCTGACTGAGACATCATGCCCTCAACCACAAGCATATGTCACTTTCATTTTAAGGTCAGGGATGCTGAACTATGGCACAGAGGCAGAATGGGAAGAGCAGTCACAGCGCTGTGACTGAGCTGGCAGTCACATCCCTCTGCACAGCGCTGTGCTCTCTCTGGGCTTTGCTTTCCCAGCTGTCAAGCCAGGGGCACAATTGGACTAAAGAACCAAGGGCCCTCCCAGCTCTGACTGTGGAAGGGAGACCTTAGCATCCAGCGACATCATGATCTGCCAGAGTGGCCAGGGCATGAGAACAGTGGTAGCACAGGTTCATTCAAACCTTTACTTCCGAGCTATGTGAGCTTGGGCAGGTTCTTAACTCCTCTGCATGGGCTGGTGCTACACTGTCACCAGCCCGTGCACAGTCATAGGTCTCTCTGGTTTGTGTGAAAAACAAATGACCTGAAGGGGAGGAAAGGCACTTTTTCTGTCCAAATGCTGGGGCAGTGTCTTATCCTGGAGGGTTTTGTGCAAGAGTCATCTACACACTATTGAAAGCAGGTCAGGAAGATTCCAATCCCATCCCCAACTTCCGATCCAGAGTCATGGTTCCAAGCAGATGGGCCTTTCCCAAGTAGCTTGATGGGAATGAACAGGATTCTCTCTCCAGAAAGTTCATGTGGACCGAATGATGATAACACCACTGATTATTAAGGTAACAGGCCACTATTATATTTAATCCTTACCTAGTGATTTAATCTCCTTTCTAAAAATGAAAAACTGAGGGCTCAAACAGGTTGAGCAATGCCAGCCACATGGCCAGTAAGTGCAGAAGTGGACTGTGAGCCAGGAGTGTCTGGCAGCAGAATCCATGCTCTTGGCCAGGCTACCTTCTGAAATTGTCTTGGCACAGAGCACCTGCAGGCAAGTGTGGTCCTGGGCCAAGTGAGTCGTCTTCCTCTTTGAACATCAAATAGCAATTCCTTCAGCAAAGAGCCAGAGATACTAACCATTGCTGTTAATTGCAAGTCACCCAGGGCCTTCCTCTTTCCTGTGTGAACATTACACACCTTAGAAACTGCACAATATGTGCATAGGCACACTGAGAGAACTGGGTCTTGTCCACACACCATCTTGCTGGAACATTGCTGGACTAATCCTTCCACATCTCTGGTCATCTGGCTGGTTTGAAGTAACCAGGGCTGGCATTTGAAGGAGGGGCAGATTGCAGCCTGACCTTGAGAGAAGCTTCCAATATACAGGAGGAAATCACAGCAGGGAGCTCTCAGGGGTAGCAAGAGTCCCGTCAGTGACACTGGGCAAGCCCAAACTGATGGCTCCTCGTGGAGATGTCCAGGTTGGTGCTGCTAAAGGTGTGTGATCCATACACTGGGGCCAGTCTGCAAACTGTTTCCAGTCTGCCATGCACACCCTGGGACAAATGTGTAGTGCTTTTTATTGTTTGATTTTTTTTTTTTTTGAGACAGGGTCTCACTCTGTTGCCCCAGCTAGAGTGCAATGGTGTCATCATAGCTCACTGCAACCTCAAACTCCTGGGCTCAAGCCATTCTCCTGCCTCAGCCTCCCAAGAAGCTGGGACTACAGGTGCATGCCACCACACCTGGCTAATTTTTTCTATTTTTCGTAGAGACGGGGTCTCACTCTTGCTCAGGCTGGTCTCAAACTCCTGAGCTCAAGCAAGCCTCTGGTCTCAGCCTCCCAGAGTACTAGGATTACAGGCGTGAGCCACTGTGCCCGGCCTCTTTATTTTTTATATGTTTATTGGAATTTGCTTGTTGCATATAAAAATGGATTGGGTGTTTTTTATTTCTTTCAGACTAAATCATTTTATCTTTTCAAAACTTAGGTCGTTGACATATTCCCATGCCCACTTATCATCCAACATAATGCTCTGACATTTTAGCTAAGAAACTGACCTGAGACAGGTAACCTGGTTTGTCTTGAGGCACTCAGCATGTAGGATGGTAAGACATGGTCCCAGCACCCAGGTCTCTGGACTTTCAATACCATCCCCCCTCCCAGCTCTGTAGAGCACAGGGTCCCTTATTCCCCAGGTGTACAAAGAAACCAGAGCCCGAGTCAAGTCAATGACTTTTATTATCGCTCACATATTTCATTTAAAAAAGAAACATAGCAAATGGGAAAGGGCAATATGAAGAAAAAAGCCAGGTTTTTGTACACGCCCTTCTCTTTACATCTGGGAGCTGGGCTCCCCGGCATTAGGCGCAGCAGCTGCACTTGTTCGATGCCCCTTTGCAGATGCAGCCTTGGGCGCACTTGGCGCAGCCCGAGGGGCAGCAGGAGCAGCAGCCTGGGGAAGAAAGGGGACAGTGAGAGGTCAGAGCGGACTTGACCAGACACCTCCCTGCCCCACTGCAGGTCGGGCACAAGATCTGCCCCTTAGTTCAGGATGGCAGGCTCTGGCAGGAGACGATTGCTGGACCATTGGGGTGAGGATCTTCCTCAGCAAGAGCACCAAGCACCACCCGCCCAGAAAGGGCCAGAAGAATGGAAGCAGCGGCAGGACCTATAGGTAGGAAGGATGGTCAGCCCCAGAACCACTCACTCAAGTGAGCAAAGTCCTCAGGTGCGGGGTCTGTGTTTCACAGGCTGATGCGCTGTCTAGGCCTGAATGTCTCCATTCTAGGAATGAAGCTTAGGAACTAACCGTGTCTAAAGTTCTGACGCCTCTGATCTTGAACCAGTTCCAGGGGAAGGAGATATACCTTCCCCACATCTTAGCTGCTCAGTGGCCTGCTCCTGTCTGCTGAGCTCTGGGCTCCCTCCTATGATTCAGCCCAGCCCCCAGCTTCCCAGGAAGGCCCCACACTCACTCTTCTTGCAGGACGTGCACTTGCACTCTTTGCACGTGCAGGAGCCAGCGCAGGCGCACGAGCCACCTGTAGGGAAGAGAGAAAGGCAGTGAGCAGTAAATGTGATAGCTGGCCAACACAGGCTCCAGCTACTCAGTGCAAGGCTAGAGCTGGCTGCTCCTGTCCCGCTCACAGCCCAGTGAACTGTAACCTCCCTTCTGTCCGCACAGGCTAGGATGGCCTTATGTCCTTCATCCTGAGAAGGCAGCGTCCCCCGTCTCCCATCCAGCCAAGACAACTCAAACGCTGCACAGGCCACTGGGGCTCAGCCTGGCAGTCGCGACCACACGATCTGGAGCGGGACGGTACCAGCCTGAGTCCCCTCGCCTGTGAAACGGGAAGCGCTGGGAGAGCGGCAATGCTCTCAGGGGTGATGAGGGCGCTTGGCAAGAGGGAAAGCACTAGAACCACGTGCTAAAGGAATCCACTTCAGCCAGAACGCAAAATGAGACCTCCACTCCTAGGACCATCTGTCCTGCCTGTAGCCGGGAAATGGGTACTCTAAGGACGAGAAAGCCGGAGTCCCTTACCAGGGGCGCAGGAGCAGTTGGGGTCCATTTCAGGCCGAGCTGGGGCTGCAGTTCCCAAGGAAGATGCAAGGGAGCCGTCTGTTAGGTGGAAGGTGTGGTGGAGTCCAGGAGCCCGCGGGCCCCCTTTATAGCCCGGGGAGGCCCTGGGCGCAGAGGCCCCGCCCCCTTGCACGCGCCCCGCAGAGTCGTTGCCGCCCGGGGTCGCTAGCCCAGCTGTGCGCAGCGGGCGGGCTGTGCGCAGCGGGTGGGCCGGGCGCACGACCCCGAGCTCTGCCGGGTGCGCACCACGGGGACAGCTACTTTGGCGCCCGGTTGCGTGGGAGGGGCTGTGTGCCTGGCCGCACACGCATCCCTGCTGTCCTGCCGGCCCTTCCCAATTTCCCTGAGATTGCCTGCCACCCCCGGCCCCGAGCGTCCTGAGACCCCTTCTTGTGGTCCTGGCGGTCTCCCCACGCGACCCACCACCTTGTCTCACGTTCTCTGCTTCCGCTTTCCAGGGGTCCGTGTGCAAACCCTGCCTCGTGCTCACGTCTCGCATCGGCGGGAGCTGGTTAGCGTGGCAAGCGAGTTGTGTGCAGAGGACAGGCTGTGGTTGTGTGTGACATGCTTCTCCCCACCCCTCAACAATGCCTGTCCCTATGCACACATAGTTCCCCGGGACTTGTTGCTCCTGTGCACAGCACCACGGCAAACACACGGGTCTGCCTCTCCTTTCCCATCTCCACGCCTGCAGGGACATATGGAAACATTTGTCCACGCCTTTGCATATAATTCTTCATGGTCTCTCCATACCCTAGCCAAGCGCACCCCTCCATGATGGCCGTTTTGAAAATTTGGGATGCTCCCAAAAGAGGGATCACTTTAAGTGATATGCAGATTCTGCGTTAAATAAACACTCAAGCCAAGTGGGTATTTCTCTTCAATCTTCCTAACTATTGCATAGCATTTAGTCAGTGGAAGTCCTTTTTAAATCACTTTTGTTCTTTGAACTTTTGCTACAATCCTAAAGGGAAATACTCATAAGAGCCTGTTTTACTAATCAGACAACTACAACCAAAAGATTGCAGGCAGCTTGCTTCCCATCGCAGAGCTAAAAGTTGTTTACTGAATTGAATCCAGTTACCTCTCAAGGGAAAGAACCTTCCTTTGGCGCTGATATGTCTTCAACCCTTCTCTATTGCTGGAAACCTTTTAAACAACAGCAAGGCACCAGCTCAACCATGGGCAGTGACGAAAGCAATGCTGCATGTAATGTGTTTATGTGTGTATACATATGAACACATGTATAATTTTCTGGCTTCCGTGTATGGAAGAAAACTGATTTTCATTCTCAGTGATGGTATAGAGTTTGCTTTTCATAAAAATATGTTTAAGAAAATATTAATCATTTCAGTATAAAACGTTAAGTAAAATACGGTGCCGGTGGTAGCAGAAATGGCTGTCATTTTGCTGTACCTGACATGAGGCACAGAATCTTGCTCACAGCTCTATAACCTTATTACTGGTTGAAATGATGTGGCAAGAGTAATGACACTCTTTGGTCACGTGTTCATGTGGTATATGAAAATAGCATGGGGTACACAGCGAAGCACACCAGGCCTGACTGCTTTGTCTGCGCACAAATAAATATCCCCTATGTATAGTGATTTTAAAAGTAATAGTTATTAATAATGTATTTTTAATTACACATCATAGTATTTAAGCAATTGCTAACGTTATAGAACACTGACCACTTGCTAGGCATCATTTTAATTTTCTTACATGTATTAAATCATTTAATCCAATAAGCCAGATGCTATTATTATGCTCCTTGTACAGTTAAGGGGACTGAGACACAGAGAGGTTGTGTCACGTAGCTATAAGTGACAAAGCTGGGATTTGCCCTCATGAGGGTGACTGAGGCATCCTGCCCTCACCCACCACTCTATGCCAACAAGTCACATGAAGGATGAGGACACTGAACATCTGGCACAGAGACAGCCCTGGGAAGAGCATTGAGCTGGTAGTGAGACCCCTCTGTATTGCTCTGTGACCTCTTTTGGTTTCAGTTCCCATCTCTGAAGCCAAGAGCAAAACTGGTACATTCCACAGCGTCTTTATATCTTTGAAGCAAGAGAGGCAGTGTTTAGCATCCAGTGACATGATCTGCCAGCTGTGGCAAGGGCAAGGGCACGAGGCTGCCTGTATCATTAGTTCTTTCATCTCTTTCCTTCTGAGCTGTGGGACCTTGGGCAGGTTGCTTAACTACTCTGGAAGGTGACAAAATTCCTGCAGCCCCTGCACATTTGCCACCCCAGTCATTAGGCCTGTGGCTGTCCTTCATGAAGAGGAAATGACATGAAGGTTGGGAAAGTCCTTTATCTCTGCTCAAATGCTACGGCCATGTCTTATGGAAGAAGACTTTACTGCAAGAGGACGAGGTCATCCACACTCCTCTTGGCATTGAATCAGCCATGTTGCCCACTCCCAGCTTCCAGTCCAGAGCCATGCTTCCGCACCTGTGAGCCTTCTTCCAGGACCGTGTTGGGATTTAACAGGATTGCTTCTCCATGTGAGTCCATGTGGAGAGAATGATGGAGAAGTTTCTGTGCCATCAATCCTTGCCTTGAGAACAGAGTGGATCCTGTATCTGTCCCACCACCCATGACCTGGCACAATGCCATTCCATTGTCTAGAAGATGAAGTTCAGCGAGGTCACCTGGCCTGCCTGAAGGCACTCAGATTGTTGGGGGCTGACATTCCCATCCAGAGCCCAGGTCTCTGCCCTCCCAGTTCAGTCCCCCACCCCAGTCCCTTATTTCCAAGGCACACAAAGTCAGAATCAAGTCAGACTGTTTTATTACCATCCAAATATTTCACAGAAAAAGGAATGCTACAAATGGGTCTGAGTTGTATGGAAAAAAAAATCCAGGTTTGTGCATGTCCTTCTATTTACATCTGGAAGCTGGGATCTCCGGACATCAGGCACAGCAGCTGCACTTGTTCGATGCCCCTTTGCAGACGCAGCCCTGGGCACACTTGGCACAGCCCACGGGGCAGCAGGAGCAGCAGCCTGGGGAAGAAAGGGGACAGTGAGAGGTCAGAGGGGACTTAACCTGGCACCTCCTGCCTCAACTGCAGGCCTGGCACAAGATCTGGCTCCAGCCCAGGGGACCCTTTCCTAGGATGGCATGGCTCTGTTCTGAGACAATTGGTGGTAACTTTTGGGTTCGTGTCCCAGGGAAAGGTTGCCCTGCACCATCTGAACTCAGTGCAGAAAATCTGCAGAGGGAATGACATAGCCCACAGGAGGAAAGGAAGACCATTTCCCTAGAAGCATACACTCAGAACCTGCTCTGGCGTCTCTCCTCTGACCCCACCCAGTCCCCAGCTTCCCGGGGAAGGCCCCACACTCACTCTTCTTGCAGGACGTGCATCTGCACTCTTTGCATTTGCAGGAGCCAGCGCAAGTGCAGGAGCCACCTGCAAGGAAGAGAATGACAGGCAGTGAGCCATGTGTGAGTTGCAGGCGGTAGGGCAGTCCAGCAATTACTCTCCAGTGCCCCCTCTTCTGTGCAGGGCCAGCCCTCAGAGCTCCTTCCCCCCCCCCAGGGCAGAGGATGGGCAAGTGTTTCCTGGTTTGACTCCACAAAGAAGGTCTCAGGCTCCAGACACAGCCCAGGAAGACTGGGACTGAGGCCAGGACCTTCTGTCTTGAACCTTCAAGAGGCAATGTCCCCTGCTTCCCATCCATCCTGGCTGATCAGAGACAGCAGCCCCCTGACCGTGTGGATGAGGTGGAGAAAGACAGCTCTTTGAGCCTCAGTATCCCCAGGTCCGGCATAGAGGAATAGGCAGGATGGAATTGCTCTGTGGAGCTGGGCCAGCAAGACACCACTGGACGAAGTAAAGGAGCCCACAAGAGCTCAGAACTCAAAATGCGACCTCATTAAACCCCGGGACAGTCTGTTCTGTGGCTGGAAAATCTGGTTAAACCCCGGGACAGTCTGTTCTGTGGCTGGAAAATGGGCATCACAAGGCGCAGAGCCCGGTGTCCCTTACCGGGGGCGCAGGAGCAGTTGGGGTCCATTTTGAGGCTGCGGTTCCCAAGCGAGAGGCGAAGGGTCTGTCGTGCAGCTGGAAGGCGCGGTGGAGCCCGGGAGCGGGCGGTCCCCATTACGGTCAGGGGAGGCCCCGGCGCAGAGGCCCCGCCCCCTTGCACCCGCCCCGTCGAGCCCCCGCGGCTCCGGGTCCCTGGCGGGTCTGTGCGCAGCGGGCGGGCGGGGCGCAGCATCCTTGAGCACTGCAGGTGCGCACAGTGTGGCTGCCCCTTTGGCGCTGCTCAGGGGATAGGGACTGTGCGCCCGGCGGTACACCGCGTCCCTGCTGTCCTGCCGGCCCTTCCTAATTTCCCCGAGTCTGCCTGCCACCCCGGGCCCTGGTGGTAATGTCCCCGCATTCCACCCACGCTGTTGTCCTTGGCCTTTCCCGGACTCCGTGTGCAACCCCAGCCTCGTGCTCACCTCCCTAGATCCATGGCAGCGAGCAGTGCAGTGAAGGAGGTGAATGCAAACCACTGGCCAAGGATGTGACCTTTGCATCTCCCACATTGCCTGTTCCTGTCCCCAACTCAGACCTTTGGCCACGTTTCTTCTGTACACGGCAACAGGGGGACACAGGGCTCTGCCTCCCTCCCTGCCATTCTGCCATCCTGAGGGGGATGTGTGGGCACATGTGGCTCTGGGTCCTCCTTTGCATAAAACTCTACAGGATGTCCCCAATAGCCCTGCCGGCCCACCCTCTACAGCACAATTTTGAAACTGGGATGCCTTCAGAACAGGCATTTTAGGTGATATGCAAACCCTGCATTAAATAGGAAAGGAAGAAAGGTGTTTTTTCTCTTCATTATTCCTACAACTGTCCATAACATTTAGTCTGTTAGGCCTTTTAAAATCATTTTCCATCTATGAACCCTCACAACAAAAGCCCTAAAGGAAAATAGCATCTATGACCCTGGTTTACTAATCAGACAATGACAACACAAGTTTAAGTAACTAGCCCACAGTCAGACACTAGAGGCACTGCTAGATCTGAATTCTGTCAACTTCCCGAGGGAAAGAGGTCACTGATGAAGCTTCCCTTTGGCCTAGGTGTGTCTTTAGCACCTCTGTACTCTTCTCTACTACTAGAAATCTTTAAAACAAAACCAAAGTGCCAAACTCAATCCTGGCAGCAAAAGGGGAATGTAGAAAGGATATAAATATTTGTGATTTCTTGGGCAAACTTCCACATATGCAAGTTCAACTGATTCTCTTTTCAGTAGGGTAATGAATTTGCTTTTCATATAAATATATCCTCAGGAAATATGAATCATTTAAAAGAAAAACATTAAGTAACATACCAGCGCAGGTGGTAGCAGAAATGGCAGGCATCCTTCCGTATTTGTTGTGAGGACAAGGACTCTCTTGCTCATGGCTTTATATTTTTAGTGTCAATCTCTTTTTTTTTGGAAAGAGTGTAGGACCCTCTCTGGGTCACAGGTCACATGTTGATGAAGCTAATGAGAAAGACAAAGGACACGCAGCAAGGCACGGCATGCATGACTGATCTGTCTGGGGTAAAAATGTTACCTGTGGTTTTATCTTAGTCCGCTTAGGCTTCTCTAATGAAATTCCTTAGACAAAATAATTTATGAACACCAGACAAGTCTGGAGGCATGGAAGTCCAAAGTCAAGGCACCAACATATCTGATGCCTTGTGATGGCCCCGTGCCCCACGGGTGTCCGTTTCTTGCTGGGTCTTCACATGATGAAAGAGGTCAACAAGCTCCCTCAGGCACTTCTTTTTTTTTTTTTTTTTTTTTGAGACAGAGTCTCGAATTGTTGCCCAGGCTAGAGTGAGTGCCGTGGCATCAGGCTAGCTCACAGCAACCTCAAACTCCTGGGCTCAAGTGATCCTTCTGCCTCAGCCTCCCAAGTAGCTGAGACTACAGGCATGTGCCACCATGCCCAGCTAACTTTTTCTATATATATTAGTTGGCCAATTAATTTCTTTCTATTTATAGTAGAGATGGGGTCTCACTCTTGCTCAGGCTGGTTTTGAACTCCTGACCTCAAGCAATCCGCCCGCCTCGGCCTCCCAGAGTGCTAGGATTACAGGCGTGAGCCACCGTGCCCGGCTTCCCCAGGCACTTCTATAAGGGCACTAGTCCCATTCATGAGGGCTTCGTCCTCATAATCTAATCACCAAATACCCCACCTCTTAATAGCAACACACTGGGAATTAGAAATCAACATGTGAATTTTGGAGTGACACAGCATTTAGGCCACAGCAGATATAAATAATAATAATAAAATAATAGCTAATATTATAGCCCCTTTGTCATCTACAAGGTACCACGTTAAGTTCTTTGCATGTATTGAATCATTTACTTCTGAGTGAGACCTTATTATGCTCATGTGTTGATGGTATGAGAAATGTGTCATTAGGCAATTTTGTCACTGTTTGAACATCATAGAATGTACTTTCACAAACCTACATGGTATAACCTATTATGCTTCTATGCTATACCGTGTAGCCTATTGCTCCTAGGCTATAAACCTGTAGAGCACGTTGAGGTGCTGAACACTGTAGGTAATTGTAACACAAAGGTAAATATTTGCCTGTCTAAACATATCTAAACAGAAAAAAAGATACAGTAAAAATACAGTATTATAATTTTATGGGACCAATGTTGTATGTAAGGGTCCATTGTTGACCAAAATGTCATTATGTGGCCAATGACTGTATTATACTCCTTTTACAGTGGGGGAGACTGGAATACAAAGAGGTTATCTCACCCAGGTATAAGTGACACAGCTGGGATATGTACACATGTAGTCTGAGTGAGGCATCATGCTTTCAACCACAAGCATATGTCACTTTCATTTTAAGGTCAGGGATGCTGAATTCTGGCACAGAGGTAGAATGGGAAGAGCACTGAGCTGGCAGTCACATCCCTCTGCACAGCGCTGTGCTCTCTCTGGGCGTTGCTTTCCCAGCTGTCAAGCCAGGGGCACAATTGGACTAAATAACCAAGGGCCCTCCCAGCTCTGACTGTGGAAGGGAGACCTTAGTATCCAGTGACATCATGATCTGTCAGCTACAGTGGCCAGGGCATGGGAACAGTAGTAGCACAGGTGCCTTATACCTTTGATTCCAAGCTATGTGAGCTTGGGCAGGTTCTTAAGTCCTCTGGAAGTGGTACCCTCTCACCAGCCCCTGCACAGTCATAGGTCTCTCTGATTTGTGTGAAGAGCAAATGACTTGAAGGGGAGGAAAGGCACTTTCTCTGTCGAAATGCTGGGGCAGTGTCTTATCCTGCAGGGTTTTGTGCAAGAGTCATTTGCACACTATTGAAGGCAGATCAGGAAGATTCCAATCCCATCCTCAATTTCCAATCCAGAGTCATGCTTCCAAGCAGATGGGCCTTTCCCAAGCAGCTTGATGAGAATGAACAGGATTCTCTCTCCAGAAAGTTCATGTGGACCAAGTGACTATAACACCTCTGTTTATTAAGCCCTAGCCAGGGAACAGGCCACTATTATATTTAATCCCTACCTAGTGATTGAATCTCCTTTCCAAAAATGAAAAACTGTGGGCTCAGAGAGGTTGAGTGGATGGCAGCCACACAGCCTGTAAGTGCACAAGTGGGCTGTGAGCCAGGACTGCCTGGCACCAGAACCCATGCACTTGGCCCAGTTACCTTCTGATATTGTCTTGGCACAGAGCTCCTGCAGGCAAGCGTGGTCCTGACACCTGGGCCAAGTGAGTCGTCTTGCTCTTTGAACATCAAATAGCAATTCCTTCAGCAAAGAGCCAGAGTCACTAACCGTTGCTGTTAATTGCAAGTCACCCAGGGCCTTCCTCTTTCCTAGGGAACACCACACACCTTGGAAACTGCACAATATGTGCCTGTGCAACTCTGCATAGGCACACTGAGAGTCCTTCACCCAGAACCACTTCTTGTCTACACGCCATCTTGCTGCAACATCGCTGGGCTATTCCCTCCACATCTTTGGTCACTCGCTGGATTGAAGTAACCAGGGCTGGAATTTGAAGGAGAAGCAGATTTCAGCCTGACCTTGGGAGAAACTTCTAATATTCAGTAGCAGATCACAACAGGGAGCTCTCAGGAGTAGCAAGAGTCCCGTCAGTGACACTGGGCAAGCCCAAACTGATGGCTCCTCGTGGAGATGTCCAGGTCGGTGCTGCCGAAGGTGTGTGACCCACACACTGGGGCCAGTCTGCAAACTGTTTCCAGTCTGCCGTGCACACCCTGGGACAAATATATAGTGTTTGTAATTCTTTGATATATTTCGTTATTTTATTTTTTGTACATTTATTGAAATTTTCCTGTTGAATACAAAAATAGATTTGCTGTTTATTTCTTTCATAGCAATTCATTTTATCTTACCAAACGTAGATCTGTGACAGATTCCCATGCCCTTATATCATGTGGCATAATACTATTACATTTTAGCTGAAAAAGTAACCTGAGACAGGTACCCTGATTTGCCTTAAGACACTCAGGGTGTAAGATGACATGACACGGTCCCACCACCCAGGTCTCAAGATCCTCAATGCAATCCTCCATCCCGGTTCTGTTAGGCATGTGGTTCCTTCTTTCCCAGGCATATGAAGAACACAAGAGCCAGAGTCAGGACAATAACTTTTTTTTTTATTGTTTACATTTTTCATAACAAAAAGAAGCATAGAAAATGGGTCAGGGCAACATGAAAAAATTCCAGGTTTGTGCACGTCCTCCTATTTACATCTGGAAGCTGGGATCTCCTGACATCAGGCGCAGCAGCTGCACTTGTTCGATGCCCCTTTGCAGACGCAGCCCTGGGCACACTTGGCACAGCCCGCGGGGCAGCAGGAGCAGCAGCCTGGGGAAGAAGGGGACAGTGAGAGGTCAGAGCAGACTTGACCAGACACCTCCTGCCTCAACTGCAGCCCTGGCACAAGATCTGTCCCCAGCCCTCGATGGCCTTTAGTTCAGGATAGCATGCTCTATCAGGAGACAACTGGTGGATCTTTGGGGTGAGGATCTTCCTGTGCAAAAGATATACAGGCCTACCTGAGCCCAGGACAGGGCATAAGACTGGAAAGGGCAGTGACAGGGCCTAGGTGGCAATAGAAAGCCAGCCAGCCTCCCAGAACCATACACTGAAGTGAGGGAAATCCTCAAGCATCAGTCTGTGCTTGACAGCTGCTGTACTCTCTTGGCCTCAGTTTCCCTATTCTAAGAATGAAGGCTGCAAATCAACCATGTCTAGAGTTCTTCCTGAATCAGTTCTAGGGGAAGGGGAAGCTGCTCAGTGGCCTGCTCCTGTCTGCTGAGCTCTGGGCTCCCTCCTCTGACTCAGCCCAGTCCCCAGCTTCCCAGGAAGGCCCACACTCACTCTTCTTGCAGGACGTGCACTTGCACTCTTTGCACGTGCAGGAGCCAGCGCAGGCGCACGAGCCACCTGTAGGGAAGAGAGAAAGGCGGTGAGCAGTAACGTGATAGCTGGCCAGCACACGCTCCAGCTGAGTGCAAGGCTAGAGCTGGCTGCTCCTGTCCCGCTCACAGCCCAGTGGACTGTAACCTCCCTTCTGTCCGCACAGGCTAGGATGGCCTTATGCCCTTCATCCTGAGAAGGCAGCGTCCCCGGTCTCCCATCCAGCCAAGACAACTCAAACGCTGCACAGGCCACTGGGGCTCAGCCTGGCAGTCCCGACCACACGATCTGGAGCGGGACGGTACCAGCCTGCGTCCCCTCGCCTGTGAAACGGGAAGCGCTGGGAGAGGGGCCATGCTCTCAGGGGTGATGAGGGCGCTTGGCAAGAGGGAAAGCACTAGAACCACGTACTAAAGGAATCCACTTCAGCCAGAACTCAAAATGAGACCTCCACTCCTAGGACCATCTGTCCTGCCTGTAGCCGGGAAATGGGTACTCTAAGGACGAGAAAGCCGGAGTCCCTTACCAGGGGCGCAGGAGCAGTTGGGGTCCATTTCGAGCCGAGGTGAGGCTGCGGTTCCCAAGCGAGAGGAGATTAGGCAGTAGTGCAGGTGGAAGGCGCGGTGGAGCCCAGGAGCCCGCGGTCCCCTTTATAGTCAGGAGAGTCCCGGGCGCACAGGCCCCGCCCCCTTGCACCCGCTGGGGCGTCCCGGCCGGGCTGTGCGCAGCGGGCGGGCGGAGCGCACGATGCCGGGTCCGCCCCTTTGGCGCCCGCTGGCGTGGGACGGGCTGTGCGCCTGGCTGTACACGGAGTCCCTGCCTTTCCCAATTTCCCTGAGATTCCCGCCAGCCCCGATCATGGGCGTTCCGGGAATCCCCGGATCCTGGCTGTCTCTGCACCACCAGCCTACGCCATTGTCCTCCGCTTGGCCTGTCCGGGGGTCCGTGTGCAAACCCAGCCTCTGCTCACGTCCTGCGTTGGCGCCAACGGGTTAGCGTGGCTAGCGAGTTGTGCTCAGAGGGTAGGCTGTGGGTGTATGTGACTTGCTTCTCCTCACCCCTCCACGCTGCCTGTCCCTATCCACACATAGGTCCCTCGCACTTGCTCCTGTGCACAGCACCAGGGCAAACACACGGGCCTGCCTCTCCTTTCCAATCTCCACTCCTGCGGGGACGTATGGGCACATTTGTCCAGGTCCTCCTTTGCATATAATTCTCCATGTTCTCTTCACTGCCTAGCCAGACAGAGCAGTCCAAGACGGCAGTTTTGAAAATTTGGGATGCTCCCAAAAGAGGGATCACTTTAGGTGATATGCAGACTCTGCATTAAATAAACACACAAGACAAGTGGGTGTTTCTCTTTCGATATTCCTGACCATTGCATAGCATTTGGATTGTGCTGTGCTGGTCCCTTTTTGAATCACTTTTGGTCTTTGAACCCTCACAACAATCCTACAGGGAAATACTGTTTATGAACAACTGCAACAAGAAGAGGTCAAACAATAGCTCTGTGTAAGAGAGCTAAAAAAATTGTGAACTAATTTGAATCCAGTAAGCCCCTAAAGGGAAGGGAGGTGTCCTCAAGGGAGGTGTCCGTGGTAAAGGCTTGCATTGGCCCAGGTATGTCATCAACACTCTTCTATTTGCTGGAAATCTTTTAAACAATAGCAAGCCATCAGCCAATCCAGGGGCAGTGACAAAAGCTATACACACACACACACACACACACACACACACACACATAATTTTTTGGCTATTTTCTATGTATGGAATGAGAGTGATTTTCATTTTTGGTGATGATAAAGAGTTTGATTTTCATAAAAATATATTTAAGAAAATAATCATTTTAATGTAAAGTTTAGGTAAAATACAGTACAGGTAGTAGCAGAAATAGCTGTCACTTTTCTGTATCTGACAGGAGCACAGAATCTTACTCATGGCTTTATAAGTCTAGTGTTGGTTGAAATCACTGGGGGAGAGTGAATGGCCCTCTTTGGACCACATGTCACATGTTTATGTGTTGGATGAAAATGACATAGGATATACAGTTAAGCACACCAGGCCTGCCTGCTTTGCCTTTGCATAAAATAAATCTCCCTTATATGTAATGATTAAAAAAATAATAATTAATATCATAGACCACTGACCACCTTCCAGGCACCATTCTAAGTTCTTTACATATATTAGATCATTAAATCCTATAAGCCAGGATTATATATTGCTATCATTATGTCCCTTGTACAATTGAGGAGACTGAGACACAGAGAGGTTGTGTCATGCAGCTAAAAGTGACAGAGGCGGGATTTGCCTTCATGCAGGCTGACTGCAGCATCCTGCCATCACCCACCACCCTATGCCACCAGGTCACTTGAAGGATGAGGACACTGAAAATATGGCACAGAGGCCGCCGTGGGAAGAGTGCTGAGCTGGCAGTCAGATTCCTCTGCATAGTTCTGTGAGTTTCTCTGCATTTCAGTTCCCATCTCTTAAGCCAAGCAAAATTGGTCCATCTGAAAGGTCCCATGTAGCTTCGAACCAAGATAGGGAGGGTTTAACAACCAGCGACATCATGATCTGTCAGTTGTGGCCAGGGCAAGAGGCCAGCTGTGGCACAGGTTTGTTCATTCCTTTCTGCTTGAGCTGCGTGACCTTGGGCAGGTTGCTACTCTGGAAAATGCACAATCACTCCAGCCTCTGGCTGTGTGCTGACCTGGTCATGACAGCTGTGTCTCCCATTCATAAAATGACATAAGGGCGGGAACGGCTTTTATGTCTGCTCAAATGCCCGGGCAGCACCTTATCAAAAAGGACGTTACTGTAGGAGGTCATCCACGCTCCTCCTAGCACTGGATCAGCCAGGTTGCCACTCCCAGCTTCCAGTCCAGAGCAATGCTTCCACACCTGTGAGCCTTTCTCACGACCGTGTTGGGGTTTAACAAGGTTCCTTCCCCAAGAGAGTCAATGTGGACAGAATGATCACAGGCACAACTTTTCATTAAGCCCTCGCCAGGAGCCAGGACACTTGCTCATTTAATCCCTACATTAAACTATCATTTCCTTTCTACAAATGAGGGACTACAGAGTTTCCGCCACTTGCCCAGGCCACATAGCCAGTAAGTGGTGGAGTGGGTTGTGAACCAGGACTGTCTGACCCCAAAACCCATGGCCTTGCCACATGCTGACTTCTGAAATCTCCTTCGACTGGGAACCGACGGGTGAGCCTGGTCCTGTCTTTTAGGCCAGGAACCTCATCTTCCTCTTGGATTGAACATCAAATAGCACTCCTTCAGCAAATAGCCAGGGGGACCAACCACTGGCTTTCATGACAAGTCACCAGGGCCTCACTCCTTCCCAATGAGCACCGCCACACCCTCCAAACTGCAGAACCTGCCATCACCTGGCATGGGCAGACATGAAGCACTTCATCTGGAACCAGTGACCACACACGATTCATCTCACCAGGAAAATGCTGGGCAATTCCTTCCAAATCCCTAATCCCTCTGCTAGTCCGAAGTCACCAAGTACTAGACTTTGAAAGAGGACCAAATTCAGCCTGACCTTCCGAGGAACTTGCAAAGATTCAGGGCCAAGTCACAAGAGGGAGCTCTCAGGGTCAGATAGTGTCCTGTCAGTGGCACTGGGCAACTCGAGACTCATGGGGACACCCTGGCCAGTGCTGCTCAAGGTGTGTGGGCCACACGCGGCCACCAGTCTGCTGTTTCCAGTCTGCAGTGCACCCCATTAATGAACATATGTGCAGAGTTTGTAAATCTTTAATTTTCCTGTTTCCTCAGATATTTATCAGGCTTTTTTCTGTTGAATCTAAAAAACGGGTTTTATATCATCTTTGATTTCATTATCTCCAAGGTTCATATTTTATTTAGCAAGGTTTATATCTGTGATGGATAGGAAACAAAAACTGTTCCTTCACTGTGGGGTTTGAGAAGGACTGTGTAGGATTCGAGCAACCGGGGAATTTGATTCTACCCCCTTTAGTCACTTTCAGTCCTCAAATCCAACAAGGAACTGAAATAGGGCAGGAAAATCAGAAAGTTAAAATGAGGAATGGACAAGTTTCTGTGCCATCAACCCTTGACACGGGAACAGAGCAGATCCTGTGTCTGTCCCTCTCACCCCCCATGACCTGACACAATGCCATTCCAAGATGAAGCTCAGCGAGGTCACCTGGCCTGCCTGAAGGCACTCCGATTGTTAGGGGCTGACATTCCCATCCAGAGCCCAGGTCTCCGCCCTCCCAGTTCAGTCCCCCACCCCAGTCCCTTATTTCCAAGGCACACAAAGACAACCAGAGTCAGAATCCAGTAAAAAATGTTTTATTGTCATTCACATGTTTCATAGAAAAAGGAATGTAGCAAACGGGTCAGGGTGATATGAAAAAAAAAATCCAGGTTTGTACAGGTGGCTCTATTTACATCTGGGAGCTGGGATCCCCTGGCATCAGGCGCAGCAGCTGCACTTGTTCGATGTCCCTTTGCAGACGCAGCCCTGGGCGCACCTTGGCGCAGCCCGTCGGGCAGCAGGAGCAGCAGCTGGGAAGAAAGGGACAGTGATAGCGTCAGAGCATTTAACCAGACACTTCTGCCTCAACTGAGCTGAAACAGCTCTGTCCCCAGCTTGCTTTTAGGATGGCACAGCTCTGTTCTGGAACAATAGGCAGTGCCTTGGGCTGGTGTGTTCAAAAGGAAAAGTTTTTCCTGACCTATCTGAGCCCAGAGCACGAAAGCCTGGAGCGAGAATGCCATAGTCCACAGGAAAAGGAACGGCCATTCGAGGGAAGCACTGCGCTCAGAATTCGCTCATGGTTCCCTCCACCTATAGCCAGCTGTCCCGGAAGGCCCCACTCATCTTCTTGCAGGACGAGACGCTGCACTCTTTGCACGTGCAGGAGCCAAAGCGAGGCGCAAGCACGCTGCAAGAGGAAGAGAATGACAGGCAGTGAGCGCAGGTCGGTGGAGAGGCACGAGGCACAGCAGTCAGGCAGCACACTGGGTCGTGCCCGGCTGTGTGCAGCGCAGCCCCAGGGCTCCTCTCCCTCTCGGCAGAGGAGGAGAAGCCATCTCGCTCCGCCCACGCTGTGAAAAAGATGCCTCCTGCTATTGCCCACGAGGAAGGCCAGGCTGCAGACACAGCCCGGGGAAGACGAGGAGCCATGTCCCTGCTCCGTCCACCTGCCTCAGAGCTCGTGACGGCGCGAACGGGCCCAGAGACAGTTTTGGGTATAATTTAGAGCTCACAAAAGATGATCACTTTAGGTATAGTGCAGACGTCTGCATTAAAAACACACAAGACAATGGATGTTCTCTCGTGATCCTGACTATTGCATAGCATTTGGATTGTGCTGTGCTGTCCCTTTTGAATCCTGTTGGTCGTGTTGAAACCGCTCAGCACCAATCTCAGAAATACTGTGTATGAGAAACTGGCAACAAGAAGTTTTTGTTTGAGGTCAACATGCTCTGTGTAGAGAGCTGAAAAGAATTGGTGAACTAATTTGAATCCAGTAAGCGCGCCTAAAGGGAAGGGAATGTCTCAAGGAGGTGTCCGTGGGTAAAGGCTTGCATTGGCCCAAGATAAGTCATTCAACACTCTTCTATTTGCTGGAATATCTTTTAAACAATAGAAGCCATCAGCCAACTCCAGGCATGACAAGAAAGCTAGTACACACACAAACACACACAAACCGACACATCATAATTTTTGGCTGATTCTATTGTCATGGAGATGAGAGTGATTTTCATTTTTGGTGATGATAAGAGTTATTTTCATAAGTATATTTAAGAAAATATCATTTTTAATGTAAAGTTCTAGGTAAACATACAGTACAGGTAGTAGCAGAAATAGGGGGCTGTCACTTTTCTGTATTGACAGGAGCAACAGAATCTACTACATGGCTTGTATAAGGTCTACGTGTTGGTTGAAGATCACCGGGGGAGAAGTGAAGGCCTCTTTGGACACATGTCACATTTTATGTGTGATGAAAAATGACATAGGAGTATACAGTTAAGCACACGCGAGCCTGCCTGGCTTTGCTTTGCATAAAACTAAATCTCCCTATATGTAATGATTAAAAAAAATCCCCAATATTTAATATCATAACCAGACCACCTTCCAGGCATCATTCTAAGTTCTTTACATATATTAATCATTTAATCCGTATAAGCAGGTATTATATATTGTACATTAGTGTACTTGTACAATTTTGAGGAGACATGAGACACAGAAGGAGGTTGTCATGCAGCTAAAAGTGACAGAGGCGGATTTGCCTTATGCAGGCTGACTGCAGCATCCTGCCATCACCACCACCTATGCACCAGGTCACTTGAAGGATGAGGACACTGAAAAATGGCACAGGAGGCGCGTGGAAGAGTGCTGAGCTGGCAGTCAGATTCCTCCTGCATATTCTGTGACTTTCTCTGCATTTCAGTTCCATATTTAAACCACGAGCAAAATTGGTCCATCTGAAACGTTCCCATGAGCCTTCGAACCAAGATAGGGAGGTTGACAACAGCGACATCATGATCTGTCATTGTGGCAGGGCAAGAGCAGTTGCACAGGTTTGTTCATTCCTTTCTGCTTGAGCTGTGTGACCTTGAGGTTGCTTACTCTGAACAAATGCACAATCACTCCGCCTCTGGCTGTGTACTGATCCTGGTCGATGACAGCTGTGTCTCCCACCTGGGACCAAATCCTACTCCGTCGCTCTCGTAATTCTTTGATATATTTGTATTTATTTTGTATTATTGAAATTTCCTGTTGGAATACAAATATAGATTTGCTGTTATTCGTGTATACAATTCATTTTATCTTTACAAACGTGATCTGTGACAGATTCCATGCCTTTATATTGGCATAATTATATTCATTTTAGCTGGAAAATAGGTAGACCTGGGACAGGTTACCCTGGATTGCTAAGACACTCAAGGGGTGTAAGATGACTGACACGGTCCCACCACCCAGGTCTTCAAATCTCAATTCAATCCCATCCGTTTTGTTAGCATGGGTGCCTTCTTTCCAGGCATATGAAGAAACAGAGCCAGAGCCGGACAATAACTTTTTTTTATTCGTTTACAGTTTTCAATAAAGAAGAGCATGGAAAATGGGTCAGGGCAACATGAAAAAGAATTCCAGGTTTGTTGCACGTCCTACCTGTATTTACAGGTCTGGCTGGGATTCTCTGACGTCAGGCGCAGCAGCTGCACTTGTTCGGAATGCCCCTTGCAGACGCAGCCCTTGGGCGGCACTTGCGCAGGGCCGCGTGCCAGCAGGAGCAGCACCTGGGAAGAGTAGGGACAGTGAGAGTAGAGCAGATTGCGACCAGACACCTCCTGCCTCAATTGCAGCCCTGGCAAAGATCGTTGTCCCAGCCCTCGTATGGCCTTTAGTTCAGGATGGCATGTTATCAGGAGACGAAACTGGTGGACTTTGGGGTGGGTGTGAGGATCTCTATGCTAATAATGTATTATACATCTACCTGGTCCCAGACAGTGGTCATATTGACTTGTATAAAGGCAGTGACCTCTAGTGCCTTATTTTTGGTGGCACTAGATTTATAGCCAGCCATCCCCATGATCCTCACTGAATGTGAGGGATAATCCCAGCATCAGTCTGTGGCTTTGATGCTGCTGTCTCCTCTTGCCTCATGTTTCCTTTTTTATTCTATAATATGAGCTGCAAGTCAACCGCAGTGTCTAGAGTTCTTTCTTCTGATCAGTTAGGGGAATTGGGTATCTGCTTGTATGCGTGCTCTTGTCCTGTTTGCTGAGTCTCTGGCTCCCTCTAATTCTAGTCCTGAGCCCTTGCTTTTCTCATGGATATGGCCCTACACTTGCATTTCTTCTCTTGCAGGACGTGCCTCTGGATCTCTTTGGCAGTGCAGGATATTTTTGCAGGCAGCGCCGTATGGCATCCTGTTAGGGAAGAGAGGAAGCGGTGTGCTATCGTAATTCCGATTAGCTGGCCAGCACACGCTCCAGGTCTGAGTGCATAGCTCTACTGAGCTGGGTGCTCCTTGTACCCTGCTCCAGCCCATGGACTGTACCTCCTCTGTTTGCGCATCGTAGATGGTGTATGTCCTTCATCTAGAAGCAGCGTCCCCGGGTTCCATCGCAGCCAGAGACAACTCACGCATGCACAGGCCACTGGGGCTCAGCCTGGGCAGTCCGAGCCCAGAGCTGGGAGCGGGACGGGTCACCAGCCTGCGGTCCCCTCGCTGTGAAGAAGCCTGGGAGCGGCAATGCTTCAGGGGTGATGAGGGCGCTTGCAGGGAGGGAAAAGCACTAGAACCACGTGCTAAAGGAATCCACTTCAGCCAGAACGCGAAAATGAGACCATCCACTTCCAGGGACATCTGTCCTGCTGTAGCGGGAAGTGGGTACTCTAGGACGGAGAAAGCGGGTCCCGTTACCAGGGCGGCAGGAGCGTTGGGGTCATTTCGAGCGACGGTGAGAGGCTGCGGTTCCCAAGCGAGAGGAGATTAGGCAGTAGTGCAGGTGGAAGGCGCGGTGGAGCCCAGGAGCCCGCGGTCCCCTTTATAGTCAGGAGAGTCCCGGGCGCACAGGCCCCGCCCCCTTGCACCCGCTGGGGCGTCCCGGCCGGGCTGTGCGCAGCGGGCGGGCGGAGCGCACGATGCCGGGTCCGCCCCTTTGGCGCCCGCTGGCGTGGGACGGGCTGTGCGCCTGGCTGTACACGGAGTCCCTGCCGTCCTGCCGGTCTTTCCCAATTTCCCTGAGATTCCCGCCAGCCCCGATCATGGGCGTTCCGGGAATCCCCGGATCCTGGCTGTCTCTGCACCACCAGCCTACGCCATTGTCCTCCGCTTGGCCTGTCCGGGGGTCCGTGTGCAAACCCAGCCTCTGCTCACGTCCTGCGTTGGCGCCAACGGGTTAGCGTGGCTAGCGAGTTGTGCACAGAGGGTAGGCTGTGGGTGTATGTGACTTGCTTCTCCTCACCCCTCCACGCTGCCTGTCCCTATCCACACATAGGTCCCTCGCACTTGCTCCTGTGCACAGCACCAGGGCAAACACACGGGCCTGCCTCTCTCTCCTTTCCAATCTCCACTCCTGCGGGGACGTATGGGCACATTTGTCCGGGTCCTCCTTTGCATATAATTCTCCATGTTCTCTTCACTGCCTAGCCAGACAGAGCAGTCCAAGACGGCAGTTTTGAAAATTTGGGATGCTCCCAAAAGAGGGATCACTTTAGGTGATATGCAGACTCTGCATTAAATAAACACACAAGACAAGTGGGTGTTTCTCTTTCGATATTCCTGACCATTGCATAGCATTTGGATTGTGCTGTGCTGGTCCCTTTTTGAATCACTTTTGGTCTTTGAACCCTCACAACAATCCTACAGGGAAATACTGTTTATGAACAACTGCAACAAGAAGAGGTCAAACAATAGCTCTGTGTAAGAGAGCTAAAAAAATTGTGAACTAATTTGAATCCAGTAAGCCCCTAAAGGGAAGGGAGGTGTCCTCAAGGGAGGTGTCCGTGGTAAAG